ATAAGACAAAAAGTTACATTGGAAATAAATTTTAGGGGTTGCGTTTTCCACCCCTTACAACCATGGGGTAAACCAAATAAATTACTGGCTAAGTGTCTTTTTGGTAGTACAAAACGTCAGGTTAATTTCAATATTGTAACTTTTTCAGTGCTTGTGAAAAAAATTGTTATACAAATTTTATGTACCCCCTTTGAGGGGCTATATCTTAACAAGGGATGCTCCAATGAAGTTTCTTAATATGAAAGATCCTATCTTCATTTCGATGAGGAATCACCTTCTTAAATGTTTTACACTTATTCAGTTACACCCTGTATATCGTGGTGAATATAAATTATTCATCAACGATTCATTGATTTAAAGATAATTTACTGTGATTATGAGTGAATAAACTGGTTTTTACTTTGGGTCAACTTTCCTAAAACATAGAATTTTAGGTTAGTTGACGGTATGTATCATTTATTTACAATATTCGCATCATAAATTTAAATGAATCTCTACATTACACTACCTATGTAATAAGTGTACAAGTAAATTATTAAATCAATGATAGATACAGTTAATAATTATAATTGATAATAAAATTTATCGTCAAGTATTCCCATACATAGTACACCTTGATGATAGTATCAAAATAAATTTTAATAACAATTTGGACTACATTAATAAACTTAAACGAATAATCAAATAAATTACATCGAAGAGTAATTAAAAAAACGAAGTATAACTATCTAAGTACGTACATAAGTACACACACACACACTCACTCTTTTTTTCTTGGACAGATGTGAATTGCATTATTTGCTGGAGGTTGGATAAATTTCACTATTTTGCAGTTTATACTGCCGACTATATTGCGATTATTCGAGGAGCGATTAAGTTGCGTGTAGCAGCAATAAATGTTTCATTATCGTGGATAGTATAATTAAATTGATTGATGGATGTAGCTGTTACTACATGGTAAGACATCGTCATGAAAAATGAGAATTGAAACTTTCCATGTTTTACCAATTTTATAATAGAAGTGTTAAAAAACATAGAAGAAGTTTCAATTCTCATTTTTCATTATAATTAAATTTCATAAAGTAACAGGTCAGTGTATGAAAAATATTTTGGATACATCGAGTGACAAGGATCAGTAGAATATCACGGTTAATAATTGATTC